ATTAAATTTCATTGTTTTATTATTTCACAGGCAAACGGCTTAATTTTTTTTATGGTTACCACAATGTATTCGAATGAACTTCAAGTATGTCACAATTAAATATGTGCTAGTTAAAATATAGAAATTTAATTAGTGAAATATGTATCAATTTATGTTATTATTTATGTCAACTTATGTATATATATGTCAAATTATGTTTATATTTATATATATCAACTTAGATTCGATGAATCAGATATTCAAATGTTATATTTACTCAAGCAAAGTGCTTGTTTTTCTATTAGCTACCACATCGACTGCTAAATTCAAAATGTTATTACTATAAATTTTCTGTAAATTTCTAGATGTATGGGATAGGGGCCGCTAAGTGGCCCAGGTGCCCAATTTTTGTAAATAAAGTAAGTAAAGTTCAAGTAGTTAAATAGCCGATCGGCAAATCACGAGCTAGCATCCAGGAAGCCACACCTTCTTAGCTTTTTGTAATTGCAGCTTGCTGTGATATTTTTCTTTAACAGATTCTCTTAGGAGCGGATTGTGCCAGAATCTTCATCATAGATCTATCCAACATCCGATGAATCGGTTAAAGCCGCTGTGTACAGAGCTACATGTAGTTTCTAACGTTCTAAGTAGTTAAGTCATGCTATACATTTTAAAAAGCGAGCAAAAAATAGTCAAATATTTGCAATATTTAGTTTGTAGTTATTTACCGTTATTTGAATTATTTTGGCATCTCTGCTACCAGTGTTCTCTCTTTTCCGTCTCGCTTTCACGCCTGCAACTGTTGTAGTTAACTCATTCCTTGCTGAAGAGGCGGATTTCTTCGTATTGATTTATATTTTGAAAAAAGTGGTGTGTTACTTATATTTAAATGGATAATTTAGAGCGTTAATCACCACTTTAGTTTTTAAAAAATTGGGATTTTCATTAATGTTAGTGGATGGACTCTCTTAAATGATTTCTAAGAAATTTCAGTTCTTTCTAATCTTTATTGATTTGTAATAAAAAGGAGTGTTATCGGTTTCGAATGGGTTAGAAGACGCAAATTCAAATACAACCTTATTCGTTACGTACCATTGTACAGAGAGCGCCAACAAAAGGGCCACCCTCAATTACTTTTAATCTAATGATCGGATCTTCACGTTCTGGGATTCAATCTTATTGGCTCGAGGGGGGTGACTTCAAATTAACTAATTAATTAGTGAATACGATATTTTTAGTTACGAAATAAGACACAAAAATGTACTTTCTCTGAATAAACATAAGGACACAAGAAGATGGAAAGTAACACCATCATCAATATTTTAATTATACATTCACACATCCATTTTTACAATCATGAGTAACAACATAACATTTTTTCTAAAGTAGAAAGTAACTTAAAGTTTTACCCATTAAACTGATTGGGGTAAAACGGGTGTCTCTTCTTACGTCATCTCACTTGGTAAGAGTCAGAACGATGATTATTGTTATTGTTTTTACGGATAGAGAGGTAGCGCCATCTGTTGCTACGAATTAACTATCCGTTACACATACCTTTTTTATGCTGAATCTCATAATATAAGGGATAGTCTCAATCTGGAAAATAGGGTCACCATAGTTCGACCAGTTCCAAAGTTTCGACCCCTTTTCATTTTAAAAAATGAACTTTTTATATGGCAATAAAATTCTAAGTTTGAGCTAAATTGGTCAAAAAATTACTGGGAAATTGAATTTCAAAAACGTCAGATATTTAAAATTCGATTTTGTAAACTCTTAGTAGTTGCATCCGTTTTTTTTTCTAACTGAAAAAAAAAACTTTGAGTGCTGATGATTAAGCTTATTTCATCTTCTGTAAAATCAGTCAGTTTTGAAGCCATTGATGTTTAAAAAGATTTAAAAATAAATCGACTTTTTAAAAATAAGAGATTCCACTAACGAGACTCAACTTAAAAACAACGTCTTACTAACTTGATTAATTAATATTTTATTTTATCTTATCACCGTTGTTAAACATTTGACCCAATTCTGAGTCTACGACTATCAAGTAGTATCAAGCTCATTAGACTTGTAATTTTAAGCCCTACCCAGAAGACGAAGGAATTCCTCTGGATCAAGCATTAGGACAAACTAGACTTTGTGGAGGAATTTTAATGGAACTAACCCGCATTTACGTTACATAATGGATTGAAAAACCTCCCATGGTTAGTCCGACAGCAAAAGGATTTTATCCCTTTATCCGTCTGCTATTGAGGATATTTTACGTCCGCACGGTGACAGCCAGGAGCAAAATTCGTATGAACTAGCCGCCGCTGATATTCGAACCTGGGTCACCTCAAAAATTCAATTTATGTGAAAAAAGGGTAAGAAATTACAATTATACTTAAAATTGTTCAAAATTCAATTTTTAATATCAAACAAAATAATAGAATATTATTGACTCGTTCAGCTTCTCTTAAAGAATAACAGAAAAGGCTAAACGCAAAATGCATCCGATTTCTTTATCTAATATCTTTGAATACCAAACCCCTCTCCAACAAATTTGAAATCGCATAATGAAACTTAATTGGTTACTAAACTTTCTTACTTCTTGATTTCAGAAATTGCATCATTATCGCATGGTTGCATTTGGCGTTAAAAATTTCAATTTTCAATGTACCTTTATAAATGAGCTGCCAATTTTTAGGCGATGGACTTTCTATCAGTTCTTTTACTAATCGAAGTTTGGAAGCTTTTCCTCGTTCATTATATAGCATCATAGTTTGAACCCAACTCAAAAGACAATAAAACTTCTTAATCAGAAAACGGAACAAATTGCCCTATCTGAAGGACTTTTTAAGTGAAGCTTAACCGTTCGCATTGGAAAATACTTAAAGCAAGAGCCATGGAAATTTCTCACCGTTAACCAGATGGAAAAATTTATGAAATAAAAACTACACGTTGTTATAATGTTACCATAAGAGCCCGAAGTCTGGTCAATTATAGATATTACCGGTAAAACCTGTCTTTCACCACAATGTCTAGGTTCGAAGTATGTTTTATTATGAATCCATTTCGTCCTATTATTTGCCGAGACACTTTGATGAAAGCAAGGGTTTGCAAGTAAAATATTGGATATACCAGACTAACATTGAACTATCGTTTGTATGTACTAAATAATTTGCTTTGTATTACTATCTGTTTATTTTTCTTAGGTAAATTAAGGAGTCAAGATACAAAGTTTGGGAAATTGTTACCGAAGAATCACAGAAAAGAAACGTTATATTGCCCAGTTCCTAACATTGAGAAATGCTTTGAAGGAGGTATGAATAAATTTTTCTTCGCAACGAATTTGTGAAACTTAAAATATGGAGAAGGAATGCAATCTAGAAAATATGGTCTTAATAGTTTGGCGAAGAGAACGATTTGAACCCTTTCACTTAATGTGCGCCCTCTCAAAGAGATCATGTTTTAATATTTTTATTTCTATTCGACTGAATCATTTAAAATATTGCAACATGCAATTACACAGAATAACAGGCTAGTCCAAAAAATGTGTATACCTTTCAATTTAAAATATTTCAACAATAAGTAAATTCAATAATGTACTAAATAATTTAATATCTTTTTACTTAGAATTTTTTTCTTCGAATGAACTATTTTTACAACTTTGAACACAAACTGTGTGATTTGCTAAGAAAGTTTAGGAGACGTGGGGAAATGAGTAAAAAGAAAAATTGGAAAATTAAGGGTATAAAGCAAAAATAAAGGAAAATATGAAATGAGAGGGAAAAAGCAATGAGGAAGAAAGTGATAAAACCAGTAGAGGATTATAAAAGAAAGGATATAAGAAACAAGTGTAAAGAGGTTGGACCCCAGGGTCTAAGGTATAGAAATTAAATTATGCTTCTAAACATTAGGAAAGACAAGAAACGTTATTAACTAAATTATTAGACTTTTTTAAAGTGGGAAATGATTTTCAGAGATCAAGGTTGGTAAATGAAGGACAATGACATTTTAGCAAAAGAAAATTTGAACTTAAGACTATGGACATACGTGTCATGTTCTTTAAGGATACGTTTGCCCAATATACGATAGACCACAATGACAAGTATGTCACAAGTAACCACAATGACAAGTAACCACAATTAGGATCTTGAAGGATGGTGAAATTTAATTTGTTTACAAGAGATGCAACTACTTTAAACTCAAAATCATAACAATTTTTGGCACTGATTTTCATATAATAAGGTAGAATAATCAAATTGCTAACTACTACGTAAGAGGAATTTCCACCACCCCAGGTAGCTTTCATTCTAATCATAGATTTGAGTTTTCTTTTGCTAAAGTCATTAAACACTTCTCTCCATTTACCGACCTTGAATTTTGGGAATCATTCCATATTTAAAAATAATTTTACCAATTTATCCATTGATCTTTCTTGCTACTCCTAATGATTTGAAATCTAATTTAATTTCTAAATCTTTCCCACTCCACCCCCTTACACTCGCCTTTTGTTTCCCTTCTTTAATTTTCTTGTTGAAGATTGTTGAAAATGCCAACATATTTTTTGTAAAAGGCAAATTATGTAAAAAAAAATGGGAAGGAATGTACAAAGCCTTTTTTTATGTTTTTGGTATTTAGATAATAAGCAGTACGATAACCAAGTGAATGAACAACTCCTTCTTGTGAAAAATTCCGCAGTTAGACAACATTTGATATTCTGACTAAGTTATAACTTTTACAATGCTGAAAAAATTTTGCACTAGGTCAGGAAATGTCTAATCCATGGAATGACCAAATGTTAATCTTACGCTATGTCATATAATGTATGTAGATATCAAAAAAAAAGTTGATTAAAAAAAAGAAATATTTAAATTTTTTTTTTAAACTTCGTTATTTCGTAAACTAAGTCAATTCTAGAATAACAAGAACAAGTTATGGAAAATTGATTACAATATTTTCAAAATTTCAATTCCAAAAATTTTTTCTTCGTGTGGAATCAATTTTTAGTTCAGACCTTGTGGGCCACTAATTTTCTGTGTGCATACTCCATTTTGTTTTCAAAATTTCATTTTTCCTCATACATCTCGAGCTTTTCTAACTACTCTGGAATATCAGCTTCGTCAAGATTTGTCTTTTAAAATTTACCCCAGTATATGCTGAGTTATAAATGGATGTTGTCTTAAGAAAAAGGCTTCGTCTTCTACTATTCATCTCATCCATTTTCTGTAAATAAATTATTCCTTTTTGCGAGTTATTCTTCATAATTTTGTTGCCTTTTGGAATATTGAACTGCCTTGATGATTCTAGAAAAAAAATTTCTTTAGTACCTAAACCCATACCTGCCAACTTTCACTCTTTCCGAGAATGGATTTTCAGAGTGGTTGTAAAACAATAAACGAAAAACAATCTGACTCAAAAATATATTTATATTTTGATCCCGTTGAAATTCGCTTGGGCAAGGATTACTATGCTTTCATATATTTATTGTAATTATTTATATGTAGTGGTGGTCAAAATCATTTATAATTACCATTATAATTCAAAAAGTTAATAACCTGAGTATTGCTACCACTTTAAATATGAAAATGAAATCTTCCGGAAAATCCGAAAGAGTTGGCAGGTATGTCTAAACTTCTCATACTTTTTTCGCTGTATATTTGGCGAATTTTTTATCGAAAAAAGAATAATATTATCTTGTTTTTGAAAGAAAACATTTATAGACAAATACAAAAATCATTTAAATATTTGTTTTATTTACTTTAGATGTGTCTTATAATAATTTTAAAAACAAATTTAAGCTTAAGTACTTATTCATTATAAAGGACCATGTTGACTTTTCAGAGTTTTTGACTTCTTAGTTAGTGTAAACTGTTACATAATTATTATTTGATATCTGCTTCCTAATTTAAACGGGTAATTTATTTTTAAAAATAATGCAATTGCGTTGTCATCATTATGAAAACAATGAATGGACAAAATTGTTATTTCTTATTGATATTTAAATTATTTTAATATATTTGAAGTGCAAGTAAACGCGTTTTTTAATTAGCTTAACCCAGACTTAATGTAGTTAACTACCCCATTTAAAGATAATTTATAAATATAAACAAACTTATAATTATTTTTATTACATGAATTTGGCTACTGAATTGGTTTATTATGATGAAATTATTTTGACAATTGCTTATGCTACTCTTAACGCACAATATTTGGTTCCTTCTGTTTTACAGAATTATGTTAAAGGTATATAAAGCTGTTCTTTCACTAGGAAAGAAACATTCCTCTTCAGTTACTTTTCCTTTACATTTAATAGAACTTAGAGACATAATATGAAAATCTTTTATATTTTTCTTTTATTTTCAGCAGTGAAAATTTCCCTGTGAACAAAAGATCGTTGGTTTTTGAGGACATGCTTCGCCAGTAAATAAACGTCCTTTAAACTCAAAATTTACTTATTCTGCAATAAATAAAAATTTAAAAAAAAGAACATACAGGTAAATAGCTTCAACTTTATTTAATTTCGCTAAAATCTATTAAAGACTATCTATTGTAGTAAAAACAAGAATCTATATAACATTCAGCTTATAATTTTAGCAGAAAAACAAATTCTCCATTTTTTTTTTCAAGCGTAGACAATGCGACCAGGTAATTCCACACAGTGTGAAATATGACTTCCTGTTGGAATTAGCTACTGTTTCCAAAAAATCTGAAGAAAAACTTTTGAAATATTATTTTTAAAAAAGCTATTCATTCACTGGCTGGTTTACCCTAAAGGAGTTAAGCATTTCAATTTACTTCTCGATTGTTATCAAAAAAACGTTGGTTATAAAAAGGTTCGTTATTACAGGAGATGACCGAACAAATCAACACTCCATGTTAATCACACTTCAAACCATGTATCTTAGGTTGCATAACAAAATAGCGGACTCCCTCCATCAGCTGAATCCAAATTGGAACGATGACAAACTTTATCAAGAGTCCAGGTTTGTATGATTTACTTTTTCCACGAAACAATTCATGGAGTATAAACTCTTACCAGACTGTACAAACGTTTGTACAGTAAAATAACATTTTCATTACTATACATTGCAAACAATATAAGTATAAGTATACTGATTTTCTATTCTCTGAAATTTACCTCATTTCATGCAGTACAAATACTATAACAATAAAATAATATTTCCTGATCCCTCCCCTCATTGTAAGTAATGTAAATATGAATTCGAAAATTCCGTATTTATTTAGGGGTGTCGGTAGGGCTAAAACCGACCATTTTCAATGTACCTTTTCTAAGAAACTTCTTATGATATCGCTTTGAAATTTATTATTTTTTGGGGGGGAGGGGGGGTATTTGAGATTATATCAGTTGTATGCTATGATAATGTTTTAGCGTTAACAGAAATACTTTTTTAAGTTATAAAGGATTTTTTGCTCAAAAATGATTAAACTTTTATAAAAATTTATAAGGTCTAAGTTCATAATTTAAACAAAAAGTTCTGCCAAAGATATGTATTAACAGTTATCAGAGTATAAACATTCATAAGCAATTTCTTGATTAGATGCTGAGAAAAGGTACATCGTAAAAGATCAGTTTTAGCATTATTGGTATATATGCCCAACTGACAGCATTTTTAAACATATTTTTCTTTCATTTTATTCATTATAATGTATTTTACGAAAATAGCTGACAAATTAAAATTTTTATGGCTTGAACATTTTTTTAAAGTGACTAACCAGGATTGCTACGACCCGTAAAAGAATAGTAATTTGTAGCAAAGTTTTCTCAAATCTTCTGAAAAAGGATTCACTTTAGCTTCTATACGAGATTTTGAATCTAAGGTTTTTGGCACCCATGCGGCAGGTACGAATAGCCCTCTTCAAAGAAGATTTTTCACCTAGTGGCAGTGACAGTAACCCCTTCTTTTACATTTAGTCCATTCATCGAAACAAGTGACGTAAATCTTTAATATGTTTGCTTAAATTACTTGAACGTAACGGTCGTTAAAATCATTTTATATCAAATTTATTAAAACAGGAATCGAGTTTGAATGATCTACGAGATCACTGTAAAAATACGATCTTCCGATAACCCATTCCTGGTAACTTACACTTTTCTCAAATAGAGATTTAAAAAATAATAAATGCTTTCACTTTAAATATTAAAACAAAAAATTTCCGAAAATCCGGAAGAATCGTTAGTTGAGGCTGCTTAAGACCCAATACTAAAGTATGGGACATTACCGGTTATTTACTGCATTTTTGTTCTTTTTTGGAGAATAGAAATTACCTAGTATTCCCTACAGTGATGTTTTTACGCTTTAGAGCCCTCTCTGCATTTGTTTATTAATGCCAACCCTGATGTTTTTTTTTTTTTAAACTTAAGGATCGCTATGCAGTTGACCGATCTGTGCTACCTTATCCTTGCGTTTTTCTTCCCTCTTCTGATATCATTAGCATCAAATATTAAGTTTTTAAATAAATTAATATGGAACCGAATAGTTGAGACATTCACTTAAAAATGTGGACATTTTCTGTATTGCAGTTACTTAAGATGCAATTATTTTGTAGGCGGATAGTCATTGCTTTGCATCAATATATCATCTATGAGGACTACTTGCCGTTTCTCATTGGTTCGGATAACATGGTGAGGTACGATCTCTACCCCAATTTCCAAGACGGATCTCTCTACAATGATGAAGTGGATCCTTCCATGCTGGTAGAATTCAGTGGAGCGGCGTTCCGTGCTCACAGCACTGTGTCTCAGTATGTGAGTGGATTCATGCCGCTATTGAAATTTCGCAATACCTACTCCAATGTGCAACTGATACACAACGGTTGGATGAATCCCTTGTTGACGGGCGCCTGCGAATTGCCATCGGAAAAAAATGACGAGTTTCAAGCGGAAGATATCTCTGATTATTTGTATAAGTATGGAAATAATATGCAACCTAATGATTAAAATATACAAATTGGAAAAACAATCGACATCTTTCAAGCTCTCAAAAACAAGTGCCCATTTTCCACACTTCCCAGACATAAATGAGAAGAAAAAATTATTTGAAACATAAAACGTAAAGTTGTCAAAAAAAATATAGAAAAAAAAAAGGTGAGAAACAAAACTAGAAAAAATCACAGTATCCTAGAGAGAAAAAGAGAACAAGGAAAACCACAATGGCCGAGAGAGGCAAATCGGGAAAAAGGGAATTTCCACGCACTGTGGTGATGAGAAAAGGACATTCATGTGAGCAAAACAAGATTCCAACAATGTACAGTAATTGATGATTTCTCGCATTCTTGATAACAGACTTATCTATCAGGTTTTTTTTTAGGTTAAAATTTAGACTTAAGGAATGCGATAGATATGTCCGTTATCAAGAATACTGCAAACAAGCAAAGTACGCGCCTATGCTGCGTTAAACGAGCAACATCCATTGCACGAGCAACTTCACGTTTTATAATTCAAATCACTTTTATTTCTTCTCATTCACGTCTAGAAAGTGGATGCCTGTTTTAAAGCGCTTGATACGTGAGGACTGTTATTTCCAATTTGTATATTATTGAAGTGAATGAAGTTTTTCATCGATTAATATCTTCAGTTTCTTGGGATTATCTATTTCATATGTAAGCTATTAATGATTATCTTTATTTGTTTTAAAACTGAGAAATCGAGAAAGCAGATTTGGAAGTACGTTAGATTAATTTATAAATGCATTGTCTCGCTAAACACGTCACGCGTTTACATTGAAATCTCTTTCAGGCCACCGCTGTACAAAGCGTATTCTGCTAAGTACTCCCACCGATATTTTAGTTGTATCCGTTGCTTCGCATCTGTTTCTCATCTCTCCACTTTACACGATCAGTTTGAATCTTTGCCTAGTAAAGAGGAGTATAACTTTACCCCTTATTCGTCGAAATTTCAAAAAAGGAAAACTTATTTCTTAGTGAGTCAAATAGCAGCAAACAAGAAAGTTTTTACGAGGCTCACAATAATTTTCTTAGTGTATCATTTTTGTATTACTTTTATAACAATTCAATAGTTTTGTTACTTCCTGTGAAATATCTTTTCGAATACATACACGTGGGACGGGTGACGCTGCAGTCAACGTGTGTTAAATGAGTTTTAACAAACACTTGTACGCACCTGGAAAAATGAGAAGAAAAAAATTTTTTATTAATATTAATCTGAAAATTTTTATTTCATTATGCAACCGGATTCTAAAAATAGAAGCTGATGTGGAAGTTCGTAGCTGTTTATTACAATTTTGATATCAGATTCCGGGTGCGTTTAAGAAACATAATTAAAAAATTGCAGTAATGTTAAATTAAGTGATAATTTGAAGTTTAAAAAAAATCGAAAAAATGCGGAACAGGCCTGAAAGGTAAAGAGGGAAAACTGGCATTTTATTTACAGTTGATTTCTGGGAAGGCACACATTTTGTCTCGGGTAAGAAATTGGTCCTGTCATAACTGTTAGACTCTTCCCGAAAACAAGCCAATAATGAAAGATTTGAATTTTCTAATTTATGTTGCTAGGGGTCCCGGTGAAACGTATGGTGGAGATATGACTGCAACAGACATACAGAGAGGAAGAGACATCGGCCTGCCATCCTATACTCAAATGCTACATTTCTGCTTCAACGGATTACAAATAAACGATTATTCCCAATTGTGGAATTCAGGTTTAATGACTGGAAGGAGCGTTCGAGAACTAATGGATCTTTACGAGTAAGTTCTTCATACCTTTTGCTCTGCTTTTCTTCCAAGCTGTAGTAGCAGTGGTTAAAAATCATTCAAAATGAAATGCATAAATTCAAGAATGAAATGTAATGCTGTTAATGCTTTAAATACCAAAATAAAATGCGAAAAAATAGGCAGTTATGGAGTAGAGATGAACACCAATCATCAGTAATACTGTAAAGTCTCACATCTTGAAATGATATTTTGCGTAGCAGCCGACCCAATTCTGAGTTTATGATTATCAAAGTACATCTCCGTAGCCTTGTAATTTTGAACCTAACGCAGAAGACAAGGGAGCTACTGAACCAAGCATTGGAACAAACTAGCCTTCGTGGAGAATTTTTTGATGGAACTAACCCGCACTTACGTGACGCGAGTGCTATCGCTGGGATTTAATCCTGGGTCACCTACCCAATGGGAAACTAATCATTGCATCTTGAAATGATAAAAGAAATTGCAGAAGCAAAATTTCTGTTCTATATACGGTTAGTTTACTTTGATTAATTTTGCCCGCATTTAAAATCTTTTCTGTAAATTAATAGAAATTTTTATGTATGCTTAAGTTGTTTGTATTTGAACAAATCTGTTTGTTGGATAAAATCATTCTAAATTAAATTAATTAAATCTATATTAATAAAAAAATATGAAATTTACTACCATTCTAAATATTAAAATAAAAATGTTCCGATAAATGGGAACAAGTTATACGACCTGATATCCCTGTAAAGGCAAGTAAACTATTCGTAATCATCACTTTTTTTGTCATTTATAAACAGAATGATTGCTTGTGTAATTTCTTGCGATGTTAAAAATTGCGCTTTGACGTTTCATTTCTTATGAATAAGTTATAAAATGTAATAAGTTTTGAAGGAAATTTGTAAGGAAAATTTGTTTCTCTTTCTGAAAAGAAGTTGGAAAGAAAATGTTCTTTTACCAGTTTTTTCATATCTTGAAGTTGTCTGAAAACAATTTCATTAAAATTTTTGGAGTGATAAGGGTTAAATCATTTTTGTAAAACTTACTTTCTGCCGAAGCAGCATCGTTTATCTTTTTAATTGATGTAAAAAGCGTCTTTTCGAAAAAAATTCACATTTTATCTAATTTTAGGGATACTAAAAATGTAAGAAATGGTCAAAACTCATTTTTTTAAATTATTTAATCGCAACTATACCACCTTTCATACTTCGTAAATTATTCATATTTAAAGAGAAAGCATTTTTTACGTGTTTTGATAGTGAGCTGAAGAAAATATGCTAAAAAACTTTGCTTATTTCAATCTCTTTTAATAGTTTTTTGTTTGTTATAAATGACCCTGTTATGAAATTTTAGTTGTCCGTGGCATCCTTATTATTAAGAGTTAACTACTACATTAATTTTTTACCTGATTAGATATGAATATGAAAATAGTTATTAAATAAATACAACTCTTAATATTCTTTTGATAAAATAGACAGTAGGAGACCAACTGCTCCGCTTTCTGCAAAAGCTTTAATAAATTGGTGGCGAATTAAATTGTAAAACTTGTAGATTAGGGAGATTCTTTAAAAGAGTCGTCACGGAGAGGGGGGGGGAGAGAACTCCAGAGTCATATTATTGGTCAAGCCTTTTACCTTTTCATCTCAATGTGTGAAGTAGTGGCGTAATTTTTATTATGAGTTTCGAAAACAGAAAGAAAAATTAAAGGAAAAATAATCATAGAAAAAAGTAAAAATAATTTGAACTATTTGCTGCATTTGCAACAACGCCATTGGCTGAATCGCGGCACCAGTAAGAATTCAGAGTTATGAACAGTTAGATAAACGACGGCAGCGCCAATCGCTTGAAGAGTTAATTACCTCGGCCTCGTAATAAACAGCAAGCTCACTTGGAATGACCATATCAAAAATATCATAGATAATGCAGCAACAATAATAATACAACCACTCATCTACAACCAGAATGTTTCATTAAAACTAAGAAAACGACTGCTGTATTCATCAATGATCAGACCAATTCTCACACATGCTTCAGCTGCCTGGATACCGAAACATCTCATGAAAAAACTCAACCAATGCCAGAACAATATGCTCAGAAAAATCACCTGTGCCAGACGATTCTTCAGAAATGCAAAGATTCACAAAGACCTTAAGATTTCCATTCTATCACAATATATTTATAAATTAAATGCAGATTTCTTCGACAAGGTCAAAAATTGTAGTGCAGCAAATTTTAACCAGATACTTAACTCTTTGAAAATTAAAAATACAGATCAAAAACATCTCACTTTACACCAGACGCCTCATATCACAATCATCAAAATAAATAAAAACCTCAATAAATTAGTCACATATCCACTCATAGCGTCAGATTCAACTACAATGATACTCGATCAAGCGTTTCCCCACGTTGACCATCAATCCCCATTCAAAGCCCCACAGCAAGCTGCTTCTTTTAATTTACTCAAGCAAGGTGCTTGAATCCTGTTAACAGCTACCACATAGACCACAAAGAACTAATTCGAAATAGAAAAATGCATGATGGATGGAATCCAGCTCTCAATTCAAGACAAGCTTGCAGAGTTATAATTTAAATTTATAAATTAAACTATAAGTATCAATATAAAAGTTTGAAAATAGTGATGAATAGTAATATTTCGCAGGTTCTTTTTCAGACCTTTCAATGTGAAATGATTTCACCATAAACCTTTCTTGGCATAAACGATTTTATTTAGATGCGTACTTATGCCACGGAACAAACATGAAGTATATAGAAAATAATAGTAATTAATCACATAATCAATGAAACTTCGCGCTCCATCATAGAACATTCCAGTCTTCTCTCACCAAGCTAGCGAACAGTCCCCAGCTTCTTTTTTTTTTCTCAAGTTTTTTTTGTATCTCGCAGCGCCATCTATTGTCGAGGATTCTTACATGAATGAATTGAATTTATCTGATAAAATAGCATCGCTGGTGAAAAAGTGGGCTAGGGGTCTGATTTTGGAATCTTCAGTTAGCTTTTCTACTTTTAAAATAGTGTTGTATTTGTATCTTTAATTTAAAATCTCTATGTCTATCTTTGTTTCGAATAAAAAATGGGACTCCACGCGTTTTTCTCAGTTATTTATTTTGGAAGACATTAATTTTTTTAGAATTTTCATTACTGTATTGGCAAAAGGCAGGGGCATTTATAAGTATCAGTAATTATAGGTTTGATATATGGGAGGTATATGGATCGTTTGTTGTTATGTGAGATTTTGGAGTCGGGACTTAGTAATTTATTGTATATTCCAGTGGCTTTAGCTGTTATCTTCTCAACATGATCATTCCAGTTAAAATATTTATTTATTGTTTGGCCCAGATAAGTGGCCTTATCAACAATAGGAATATCATTTCTAAAGAAAGTTAATTTATTATTAATAGTAAGTCGTCTATACTTTTTAATAATGAGAAGGTTTGATTCTTGGGCATTCATTCCGAAAAATTCCAGTTTGAACATCAGGTTTCAAAATCAGGTATTTTTGTTTATAGTTTATTAGTAGCATTTGCATAACTGCCAACTTTTAATCCCTTCCATAATGATTTTTCCCAGTGGTAATAATATGTAATTAAAATTTCAATTTCAAGCAAAAAGATACGTGGCATTTGAAAATGCTTAAGACGACGACAATGATGGTAACACATATTAATATTATATGCTTAATTTTCTTAAGAATAGTGGTGATCAAAATTATTTAAAAATTAAGTTTATAAAAGAAAAAATAGTATATATTTACTACCACTATTTTACTGAAAATAAAATTTGTAAAAGTTGGCAGGTATGCATTTGTAACAGATCTAGATTCGGCTATAATCCCTGTGTGGGGAGAATAGAATTCGACAAAAGGTACATCAAGATTGAATCAAGTTAACTTGTAAACTAGTGAATATATATCTTATATACCAGTGAATTGATGTTTAATAATCGTAGTGGTAGTTACGCCACAATACTCCCCTACCAGAATTTTATCAGGATAGAATTCGAGGAACGGATACCGCTAGTTGCTGTATTTGTGAAAGACCGGGAGAGCTGGATTAAGGTCACCAGCTTTTAAGCTTTAGCCATGAGAGCTATATTAAGTTCATAGTTGTGTGTGTGGTCACTCCTGTGTTGCTATTAGCAGTCGAGTATGTGCAGAAACCAGTTGTGTGTAAATGAGACTGAGAAGCAACAGCGTGAGGAGGACGATGACGCAGTCTCAATTAGCAAGTCAACTATTCAATGTGAACCATCCATCGAAGTAGGCTTGATCATATCACGTCCTTAGGTCACCAATGTGGGGAGAATAGAAATCGACAATGCCAACCTTCATTTTTCAAAAGGTACCTCAAGATTAAATCAAGTTAGCATGTCTTATAAGCGACTGAATTGATATTTAATAATCTTAGTGGTAGTTACGCCACACCCTGTATCATCCGCAAAATATGCAGTGAGGCTGTTCTAGTCATTTCTACGGGTGGGAAAATCATAGGTGTAAATTATGTATAATATTGGGCAGACCCCGGCTCTTATTATTCTATTGGATAAGAAAATATCGTTCATTTTAATTTTAAAAGATCTGCTTTTTAAGTAGTTGTTTATGAGAAAAATTAAGGCAGTTGGAATATTTAAGTTTATTAATTTATAAATTTATTTATGAAGCTGTCATGCTAGACTTTAGGTAGGCTTCAGTAACGTCTAACATTAGGAAGGCCGAAATATGTTTATTTCTAATCCCCGGCCCAATAAACTCAAAAATTCGCGTTATGTTATAACGAGCCCCCTTCTGAAAACCTATTGAGGTGGGGTTTAAGTCTGTTATATATGAAGAGTTCAAATATTTCACGAAGTGTTGATAATAAGCTAATAGGCCTGCAATTATGGGGCATAACTGGATCTTTAAGAGGTTTGGGTATAATGATAGCTTCTTTCCATTGTTTTTGGGAAATAGCAATTTTTAAGACATGAAATTATTATTATTGTAATGTGGTGAATATAATTATCAGGAATCGCTTCGATCATTTTGTTGGTAAATTTATCTCCACCCGGTGCTTTTTTTAAGTTTAGGTTTTTTGTTTTTATGATGTTTAGTCATAGTTTCAAACCGTTCCTGTGTTGTCTTTCTTTTTATCATTAAAATATCACCCCATTATGGGGCATCGATTGTCGGCGCCTAATATTTTGAATTTCTGGCCAGACGGTCAAGTGGTTAGCGTGCCTAACTGCGAGGCCAATGACTGCGGATTCGAATCCCGCTTTGGGCTTAGATGTTTCTCTCTATGTGTTATCATCTGTTGTGTGTGACCCAACATATGAACGTGTATTTGTGGCAGTGTGGCGTGGGTAGTGTTGCTCGCCTCCGTGACTTAGGTTCACAGGTGCCCACTGGGTAACGTTAAAGGAGCATCTTCCAAGGTGAAGAAGGAAACGCTCAGTACCAACCGTTATAGAGAAAAAAATATTTTGAATTTATAAGTCGGTGCTTTTTGCATTTTTAGTCGCCCGTGTTCTAGTTAAATCAAGGCTCGCCATAAACGAGTTCGTCTGTATTTCGCTTTTTGTTTTATTTATCTTTAACAATTTTTAAATGATTTTCAGTGATGTGCGTGATGTTGATTTGCTTATGGGAATATTGAGAGAAATACGTGATGACAGATCAGTATTCAGTCCTACTGCCATCTGCATAACCGCCATCCAGTTCTATCGTCTGAAGTTTGGTGACAGTTTCTTCTTCACGCACACCAACGGAAGAAATCCTTTCAAAAGAGGTATTCCTTCGTTTTTCTTTTTAAAAAAAAAACTAATATCTTGAACATTTAGTTTCTACTCTTTCCACTGTCTTGGCTTCTCCTGAGACGGCATCGCGAATCATCGTTTTTAATGTTTTAAAATGAGTTTTAAAATATTTGTATTTTTATATTTACGAAGACTGAGAGACAGTTTGAAAATAAAAATTTAATTAAAAAAAAAATAGTGCGCGTAAGAAGTTAAACTTCGTAATGTGAAAATGAAAATAGGAAGGGGTAGAAATTGATTTTGAGTGCAATCATATTGTTTCTTTGAGACAAGCTTTATCAACATTGTTTACAATTCACAACTGATCGCATCTTTTAATTATCATTTTCGAGTGGAGAAATATCCAAATCTATTACATTTATAATGGGATTATGATAACTAAGATACGAAATGTTTCAAACTGAAGACTCGGGAAATCGCAAAGATATATATGGAAAAATGCACGGCGAGTATGATGGGAAAAAACTTTTACTCCAACCATTACTAATTATTTATCTTCTGGGAAAATCACGTGACCTTTAATCTGAGTTAGAACAAAATATTGAATTTGACGAAATGTTGAATGCAATGCATTGAAATTTAACTTTTTTTTTTTAATTTGGTAGAAATATATACAATAACGTAATTTTTTTGGGCTACAAAATTTTCGATTCCGCTACTTTTTAATCTTAAATTCTGGCAACACTCTGATTTGTTTTTCTTAAACTAATGTCATCCCCTCGGCATTGCTATTTTAATACACTCTCCATTGTCTCATTTATCGTCCCCTGAATTATGAGGTTTTCATCATTCACATTCTGTCATCCGGATGCTTGCATCATGTTGACCTTTGTTTACTTCTCTTAACATGTTTACATTCTCAGTTATGGAGCCAAAGATGTGTAACCAGTTAGGATTGATGATTTCAACAGCAGAGAGAGCTGTACTCGTTCCTTCAGCACTCGGTCTACTCTCTCGCCAATTGACTAGCCTGCGTTTTGCTGTTTATTATTTGAGCTAGCAAAATTATAACTGAAAAAAAAATCCTTTCACTAAAGCAATACGTGTGAGATAAAAAAAATAACCTAGCTCTACTATGTACGCAATAATACAACAAGTCAGAAATAAAAATACAACTAAACAAGCGATTTCTTTGGATATCAATTACCATGTGTCTTCTTGCAGAAATCAAAATCTAAATTATTTTTAACGAAATCACCGTAATATTTACTAGAATCAAATAATTGAATTTTATAAATCCTAAAAAATTTGAGTTCATCCTCTTATATACCTTTGTGTTTCTGTGAATACAAAATGAAATGTTCGTAGGATTAGTGACAACAAACTAATAGTGATATTCTAACCGGAACTTTTTCTGAAGAGTTTCCGGTTGCTTGTTTATGCTTTCATTTCATTATTGAAATTATCATCCGTAGTATAAATTATTATTTTATTTTCCTTTATTTAGAACAGCTGGAAACTTTAAGGACTTATTCAATGGCTCGTCTCATTTGTGAAACAACTAGAGTGGAAAAAGTACGCAAGAATCCTTTTATGATTCCTTCTGGGAAGTTAGTATTATTTTTTTTTCTTATATAAAAATATAAATGTGCATAGATTCTAACTTATCAACTATTTGGAATGCTAAAAAATGTAAATAATAACGTTTTTTTTATACTTTCTCTTCAAAATGGTTTAGACAAATAGGAAAATTCTAAATTTATAAATTGAATACCAGTAAGTCAGCCAGAAAAAAATACTAAGAAGGATAGCAAAAACCAGATGGTTCGTAAGAAACGACACAATACACCCCAAAATAGATGCAATAGACAAACATATACTTAAATTAAATATCGAATTCTTTGAAAAGGCCACCTCTTGTTCTGTTTGCAAATAAATTAATTCTATGCTAAAATTTAACAGGAAACAAATAGCGACATACTTTTGTAGTGATATTCCCGACATCAATAGCATGTACATAAACATAGCTCAAGTTAAACCTCATATTTATCTGCATACACAGTCAGAGCCATACTTCATTTGCATTCCACAAAGTTCAAGTTAAGGATGAATGCGTTGAATGCCATGGGGGTCACCGGTGATCGGGGCTGAGTTTGTTCCTAGCGCCATGGGGGGGTCACCGGTCACCAGCAAAGCCAAAATTATTAGAAACGCATAATTCGAGTAAATTTTTAATTTTTTTATATTATTATCGTTACTAAAATGGTTTGAAGAAATGAATGCAATATAGAATACACAAAAATAGTTTTATTTATATAGACAGAGATGACAACTTGCACCGGACAGCGAATAAATATTTTCAAGTGGTCGTTTATTTATTGTGATTTTTGGTTTAATAAATTCAATTTAGTAGATTTTATCCACCATTATTTTTAAACAATTCGCAGGCTTATATAATTCACCACTTTTTCCAGATATATTATGCTAGGACGGGATAAAGAATAAGATGATAAAACTATTACCAAACAACTACATCTGCAAAATCACGCATATTTTTAATGTCTGCCTTGCTCATAATTACTACCCGCAAATCTGGAAAAACGCATCAGTCATTCTATTTCTCAAGAAAAATAAGAACCCAAGCTGCCCTGAGAGTTATCACCCAATCAGTCTACTTAACATACTTGGAAAAATATATGAAAAAATCATCTACAATAGAATAAAACCACTTCTTACAGCCCTCCCCGACGAACAGTATGGATTCCGACAAAAACTAGGTACCCAAACAGTTACTCCGAATAATAGACTATACTGGCAGAGCAATCATAAATAAAGAAACAATAGCCTTCCTGATGATCGACATATCCAAAGCATTTGATAAAGTATGGCACACTGGTACAATATATAAGCTCATACAGCTGAATTTTCCACCCGGCAT